GGCTAATTTTCCCAACTAATAAATCTACTCACACTTGGTATTCATATTCTATATATTGTTTTCACCAGTCAACACGTCAGGGAGATTTTTTTTGAAAAGGGGTTAATACCCAAAAAAATAATATCTACAAAACTCAAAGACAATAGAAAGAAAATTACTCTTTTAAAATCCATTTTCTTTCTCCTAATCTTTCTCCTCTCAATTTTTTTTGGCTCAACAACATAAATTCATTGATGAATACTAGAAATAGAAAATTGTTTATCAGTTTTCACAAAAAAAAAAAAAACTGAACCAACTTGAGACAACATAATTAACATAACATTCAAATGAAATGAAATTCAAAGCTTTGCTTTGCAATGAGATCAACTACCTCATTTGTCTATCTCGAACTAATGTGAGCCTAACTTGTTGAAAAGTGGAGTTTTCTTTAACTCTATATCCCAAAAGTAGTTAACACCATAGTTACTCTCAAATAGTTTTGATTTTTTTTTTTTCTTCTCCACACCTAAAATTATTTATATTTATCTTTTACTAAATTGATAATAAAAAAAAAACTAAAAACTGTAAAAATCACCAATTTTAAAAAATAAAAATACTACTAAAATTCAAGCTCAAGTCAACGTTTTTCAAAGTTGATTCTTTGACCCTACTAAACCAAAAACTGGTTACCAAATATGGGTCTAAAAATTGACAATTGAGGGGTATAGGGATATTTCTGTAATTTTAAAAGAATTGGGGTCCACAAAAGTGAGCAATCCAGGGGTAGTGTAAGATAGAGAGAGAAGAGACAAGCGTCTAGAGAAACTCGCTCAAAAAAACTTTTGCACGAACACCTAAAAGTCCAATGGTCCAAAAGGACGGCTCTGGTCTAGAGATGAAGATAGAGAGAGGACCGTTTCAGAGCCCTTAATCACGATAGATCAAATCACCTTCCTCCTCAATCTCTCCTTTATCGTACGCCTCTCTTTACCTCTTAGTCCTTTTAACGTACGCACTCTCCAATATCTTCCAAAGTACCCAAACAGAAAGAGACGGTAATAAGACTTTCAAAGTACCAAACTCTTCTTCTTCTTCTTTAGAAAAAAACCAAACTGATAAAAGACTCTTTTATGATGGGTAATAATCAAATCACATAAAGTTAAGATTTTTATATTCGATTAGAAGATAAAGTTAAAGTTTTTCTTGTTCCTTATTTGATTTTTGCTCTTAAACCTTTAGGGT